ATATATATATTAACTACAAAAGATTTATAATCAATTAAAAGTATTAATTCAGAAAATATAATATTAATTATTAAATTAGATTCAAATGATGTTTTAAATTATGCCTCAATCCTTAACATCTTAAGGCTACGTGATTAGGGTTATCAAAACGACTTTTCGTTCGTTTAACAGCTCGTGTTCGGCTCGCTAAGTAAACGAGCCGAACAAGAACACAGTTTTGAGCTCGAAATATAAACGAGCCGAAAACGAGAGCTGAGCTTGAGCTCGCTCGTTTTCGGCTAGTTTACACCCCTAACTAGAAGCCTATAATATTTTCTCAAAGTGGAGGGAGACATTTTCTTTTTTTGGGAAATATTTCTTGTACAGAGGACGGGGGTCATTTCTTACTTAGATGTGGTTTGGTAATTCAGAGCATTAGTCTGTCAACATCCGAAGCACTAAATTAGTAGTTCGTTAATTTTTATTAACTTAGAAAGTTAAACAGCCCAAAGTTAAATAACGGGAAATTAAAACATAAAATTACATTAATTACACGTTAATCTTCCTAAACAATATTAATACTCAACTAATACCAACACCCGCCTAGCTCGGTGTTAATTGTTATCGTGCGAATACGTTCCGGCAAGAGCAGCTAATCTAAACTCAACTTAATCCAGATTATTAACATAAATCACACACTAATCACATATTAATCAGCTCCATATTTGTCATCACATTCCATACAGATAGCCTAACTCCATCATGTAGTAGTAACTGTCCCCATACGCCGTCGTCGCATACATTCCATCCCCCTCATCCATCCCAAACTCCCCCAAATGCGTCGCCGTCGTCATCGAAGAGGTCGGGCTCCCGGCGCCCGCCGCCTCGCCGCCGGCGCCGCCGGCGTCTGAGGTTAGTCTCTTGATCTCTTCCTCCGATTGAACCAGTTTGTCCTTAAGCATCAAGACCTGCCATCATTCAATTTATTTTTCTTAGGTAGAATTCATTTAAATTTTTATTAGTTTTGCCGATATAAAATAATACCCAGTTCTCACTACATTTTATTTTTTATTTTGTTCTTTGACTGTTATTAGTTAAGAATTAGATTTGATTTTCATCAAAAGTTTGTTGAGTGCTATCAATTTAGTTACAGACGTACAGTTGATTTCACCGATCATTAAATAAACAAGACGATCTAGGTTCAAAGTGCGCAGAAAAAACAGTGAAATCGTTATCGAGCAGGCGACCGGGGAATAAAACGGAGAGGATGAATAGGGGACCGTGGTTAGGGTTTAGATTGCGGGATCGGGGAAAATCTGACCTCGCTCTCGAGGCGGCATTTCTCGATCAGAACGGCGTCGTGTGAAGATCTGAGGCGAACGTACTCATCCTCGAGCTGCTTGCTCTTCCAGCGAGCTCGCCGATTCTGGAACCAGACGGCGACCTGTTTAGGATCGAGGCCCAGCTCAATGGCGAGATGAACTTTCCGGCTAGATTCCAGCTTGCGCTCCTTACCGAAGTTCATTTCCAGAAACCTCACCTGATCATCACTCAGCCGCCGTTTCTTTCCCTCACCGGCGACATCCATCTCTCCATCGTCTACGATCTTCATCTTCTTCCTCCGCCGCCGTGCCTTCGACTCACCTGCATCCAGAACCCATTTTAGGCGGCGAAATCTTCGGAGAGAGGATGAAACAGAAATTTAGAGAGAGAAAACCTTGAGGCATTTCGGGGTAGAGTTCGCAGGACGCGAGAGATGTGATCAGAGACTTCTCTTCTTCCATAGAATCGATGGCGATGGAGTCGGCGATTACTTCGTCCTCTCTCTCTCCCCCTCCCCCTCTCTGTAGAGAGAAAGAAAATTCGCTTCTGGTTTCCGGCGTGGGGTGGTGGCCTACGGTGAAGTGGTGGAGGGCTCGAGGCGTATTTATAGTGAGAGAGGTAGTTAAACTGGTCGCGGACATGGAGCAAATTACATGCATGCCATGCCTGAGCCTGTACTATTTTATCTAATTTACCACTGCTGATATTGTATTTTTTAAAATTAAATTATATTGATAATAAATTTAAAATTTGCATGACTCGTGAGCTGGTCTGAGCTCGGCTTAGTAAGTAGCTCGTGAATTGAGCTCGACGAGCTAACAAGCCAAACACAAATTAACCCTGATTCAATTCGTTAGCTCATAAGTTGGTTGCAAGACAGTCTGAGCTGGCTCAATTTCATAGAATATAATTGTTTATACAGATAATTGGCCATGATGGGTTTGTAATAGAATGAATGGGTTTTCTTGGACTGATTCTGAACTTATGGACATTTGAAGAACGCCCCGTGATTCAGGTGTATTTGTAAAGCTCATTTTGTACCACATTAGGTCCTTTAGATTCACATGGCGGATTAGCCTAGTTTATGTAAGTTTCGACTATCACTTTCCTAGTAGCTAATATACTCGTCTAACCAGTCTGTGGAGCTCATCTCAACCAATGATACTTAAGTTTGACAAATTGCCGAAATAAGAATTCATCGTTAAAGAGTTTTAAATATATGCTCCATCGTCATTGATGAGCTGTCTAACATCTGCATTTCGATCTTTTCAGCACGATACGGTTTTTTACAGATTGATAATCAAGGCATTGTTGTTTGATCTGATGAACCTAATGGAGTATGTGTGTTTTTTCATATAAGCATATTAAAAAAATATATGAATGAAATTAAAAAAGAAATCAGGAGAAGAAATATTTATATAAATTTAATTAAATTAAATCTAAAATAATTTTTACATTTATTTTGAGATGAATATAGTATATATTAAACAATAAATTTGAATTATAATAAAAACAAATAAATTCAATAATTTGAAAGCCATTATATCAAAATTATGATCAGAATTTTTTTTTTTCAATTGAATATCTATTTTTGTTTTTTTTTTTATTTTGTGAAAGATCTAAAAAAATAAATTTTAAAAATTCAGTAAAAGTTAATAGTTTTCTAATGCATGGACATATTTAAATTTCAGTGAAAAAGTTTAGGAACAATTTAATTTTATGCAAAAATGAAGGTTGTGGGTTTCACCCGGTGGCCCGCGTTCCTTGCTATTACATTTCCTTCGCTGCCCCCATTCTTTCCTTCGCTGCCCTTTTTCCTTCCCTCGACGAGCCTCCTGCCCTAAAAATCTTCTCTCTCAAGTCCCTCGATTCTGTGGCTTTGGTGGATAGCCCTTGTTTCCGGTTGCTTTTCAGTGATTTCGGGTGACTATTGCGGTGAACATTCACTCTTCTCTCTCTCTATTGTATTTCCTTTGGTTTGGTTTGATGGTTTTGTGCAGTCTGCGCTTTGTGCGGCGTTCATCTTATTTGATTTTGACTGGCTATTATTGTGATCTTTCTATTCTCCCTCTCCTTTCATTTGTTCAGCTCGGTTTGGTGGTTTTGTTTTTGCCAGTTTTCCATTTTTCTTTCAAATGCATCAACATGTGCTATCACTTTGCAAGCGGCATTAGCTACGAAAAAAATTAAATATAGTGGCATCGATCTTGAGCTAGAAGAGAAGTTAGATCGTATGTTTGGTGGTGTCGTAGCAACAGACAATAATGCATGCACATCTAGCAAAATAGGGTTTTAGTCATCACTAAAAACCTAAATGCATAACAAACAAGTGATTTTAATGAAGGCCCCAGGCCGAACATCCATGAAATTGAATCCACTAGCCAATCAAACTATCTCTGGGTTGAGAAAAATAGAAAAAGAGGGAGCTGCCTTCATTAGAAGTCAGATTAAATAATTGGTGGCTTCATGCACCGATGACTCTGACCAATCACAAACAACTTTTGTCCAACAGTTCATGCGTATTTATGAGGCAACTCCATAAATTTATAAAGACATGTTGTTGTATCTGTTCTCTATGACAAATAGATGAACCCAATGACACAAAAGTGTTGTTCGTCATATAAGTACCTTAAAAAAATATACAAATTAAATGAAAAAAAATCAGAAGAAGATAAATATTTGATTAAATTTAATTAAATTGAATCTAAAAACTATTTGATTTATTTTGAGATGAATATAGTAAATATTAGTCAATAAATTTGTTTTATAATAAAAAAAATAAATAAATTCAATAATTTTAAGGCTCATTTTATCAAAATTTTAATTGGAATATTTTTTTTTTCAATTGAATTGCTTTTTTGTTTTTTATTTTGTGAATGGTCTAAAAATAGAAAAAAAAATGTTTATATTTCTTACACATGAATATTATAAATTCCCCTTTATTTTAATTTTTATCCAAGAACAGGCCTTAATCTCTTATAAAGAATGTCATTAAGTAAATAAATGAATTTAAATTAAATTAATTAATTCATTAAATATTTTTAAAATATTCCTCATCCATGGTGTGCTCCTCCTTTTTCGAGCCGAGCTTCAAGCCATTGAATTAAAGTTCGACAAGCACTTTCCAGTGATTAATTTAGTTCGTCCATAATCCATCTTTATGATTAATAAAACCCGATTAATCTTGATTAGGGATTCTTAATGACTTTAAAGGTATGGGATAATGATTAATTATCAGAATTCTCGTTAATGCAGCTCGATTGTTGGCCGGAGACATCCCTTTCATCCCTATTTTGTTGGTTTAATGGGCAATTAGAATGTTAATTAATTATTAAGTAGTTTAGACTTTTACATTTTATATTGATCATATGTGATTTGTTGCTAATTTATTTCTAATAAATGGAATTTTCTTACTCGTAATTAGATTTAATGATTGTTCTGAGCTTTAAAAATCGTGCTAATGTGGCGGCCCTAAATTTAGAGAGAATATTACGTGCGATTAACTGTATGTATGAATGGCCAATCGTGAAGATGTACTATGTGTCTATAAGATTATTTGTATATAAGAATGATTGCATGTACGGATGACAACTCTCAGAGATGTACATTATGTGTACATGATCATCCACACATATGGATGACAATACGTAATATTTATTCCTAAAGTTAAACTAGCATATCATACAATTAGTATATATATAAATTTAAACTAGCATAACATATCCTTGTCTGTTCATTGGCATCCATGATATAAGGCCTCTCAAGTCAGGGGTTCGCATCTTCTTTGGCACAGTTTGGCCTTAAGGAGGTGGTACTCCAATTATTGACATATTAGAGGTGGCTCGAGGCTCGTTTAATAGTCTCCAGACATTCTTCTATTATATATATATATATATATATATATATACACAACAACACGAGTCTTTGTAAGCCGCGATTCCTTCGTGTCGGGGCCTGCCAGCT